GTTCTAATTTCTTAGGATTTTGCAACAACACATGTGCTGGACATCCCCAAATTCTAAAGTGACGTAAACTACCTTTACGCCCTTTCCATAACTCATAAGGTGTTTCTGAAACACTCTTAGTAGGAACCATGTTCAAAATGTATGTAGCAGTCTCCACTGCATATCCCCAAAACGGATCGGGTAACTGAGCGAAACTCATCATAGACCGGACCATGTCTAATAGAGTTCTATTTCTCCTTTCTGATACACCATTTTGTTGAGGCATACCAGGGGCTGAGAGTTGAGACCTTATTCCATGTTCTATCATATAGTCCTGAAATCTTAAGTCCATGTACTCTCCTTCTCGATCTGATTGAAGTGTTTTAATAGTTTTACCTAATAGATTCTCAACCTCAGTCTTATACTCTCTGAATTTTTCAAGAGCTTCGGACTTGTGATGCATTAGGTAAAGATAGCCATACCTTGAATAATCATCAATAAAACTGATGAAATATTCATACCCTCCTCGTGCTTTGACATTCATTGGACCACAGAGATCTGTATGCACGAGTTCTAAGGTTTCTTTGGCTCTATAACCTTTTTCGGAAAATGATCGTTTAGTCATTTTACCCTCAAGACAAGACTCACATGGAGGTAAAAAATTGTCTTCTAACTTATTTAGAAGTCCTCTTTTAACCAATCTCTCAATCCTATTGAGATTAATGTGGCCTAGTCTTAAGTGCCAAAGATAGGTATTAGGAGAAATCTTTTGTCGTTTATTTTGAGTTTTAGCTGTTTTAAACATCTCAGTATTTAAAATAGCTTTTGTTTTCCTCGATTTTAACATATATAAGTTGTTTTCTAGTTTTGCAGAACAAATATGAATACCTCTTTTGCAAATGAACACTTCATTGATTTCAAAAGATACTTTATACAACTGTTCTAATAAACAAGAGATGGATATTAGATTTCTTTTCATTCCAGGAACAAAAAGTACATTATCTAATATAATGAATCTATCTCCAAAAAACAACTTTAAATTTCCTACTGATCTTGCTGAGACAACCTCTCCTGTTCTAACTCTTAGTGTTATCTCGCCGTCCGCAAGCATTCTCTAGGAGCTAGTTTCCTGGTAAAAAGAACAAATATGATTAGTCACCCCTGAATCTAGTATCCAAGTTGAGTTGTCATACTCTACTAAACATATTTCTACAACGAGTAAATCATATTTACCTTGTTGTGTCTTTTCGGCTTTCTTCTCTGCAAGGTATTTTGGGCAGTTTCTCTTCCAGTGCTCATTTTCGTTGCAATGGAAACATTTTCCTTTATCTGCTTTTTGAACCTTGTTCTTGCGGTTAGTAGGAATCTTATTTTTCCCTTTTTCCCTTCTTCATCAAAACACTTTTAGAAGTTGAAGGTCCAAACTTATTTTTGGAGGACGATCCTCGTAGTAATTTCTTGGAGATGACAACATTTGCTTCTCCTGTTTGTCCCTTGTTCGTTAAGAGGGACTGATAAGTCTGTAGCTCATTGAGAAGAGCAGTCAAGTTATATTCTATTTTGTTCATTACCACATTGGTGCGGAACTAGAAGAAGCTCTTCGGAAGAGACATCATGATAAAACTGACTTGACTCTTCCATCAATGACAGCTTCATTTTCTTCTGCCACATTGAAATGGACCATCATGTTCAGGACATGTTCTCTAACTGAGGTCCCTTCTTTCATACGGCAGTTGTAAATGTATTTTATGGCTTCATGTCTAAGGGAGAAGGACGGTTGTCCAAACATCCCTTTTAGAGATTCCATAATCTCTTTAGCAGTACCCATAACATCGTGTTTCTTAGCCAAAACATCAGATATGCTGGCTAGAATGTACACTCGGGCTTTGTCATTTGCCTTTATCCATCTGTCATATGCATCCCGAACTGTTCGGTTTGCATTTGAGTTGGGGTTTGGAGGACACTCCTTAGTTAAAACAAACTTTAAATCATCAATGACCAGTATTGTGTTTAGGTTTGATTTCCAAGTTGTGTAGTTGTCGCCGTTTAATTTCTCAGAAGCGAGTAATTGTACTATTGAGTTTGTCATGCTGTGATATAAAGAAAATTCTATTAGTGATTTGACTTAATCCTGTTTAATCCAATCAGTTTTAGCAAATGTAATAATGTACCCAAATCATTATTAATTTGCAACGATACTTTAGAGAGTTAGAGCAACTGCCACCGAGGGGAAGAAGCTCTTCGGAAGATCGTACAAGGGCCACACATCATCACATGCATTCATATCACATCAACTAAGCAGCATAAATAACATACATTCATGTTCACATGATTTCGTACTTAAGCACCATAATCTAGCATACAATGTATCATATCATAACCAAGTCAATAACGTAAACACTTCATAGTCATATCGTTCTCTAACTTACCATAGCCTTAACGTTCTTATACCTATCACAGACATATCATTACGTGACGTACGTTAGTCATATCGTCACAAGAACGTACCCTAACGCTATCGTTCTATCAATCTATCACAAACCTATCCCTTTCTACCCATAACCTAACCGTATTCTTTCATCAATCTCTCCTATCCATAGCACTCCGGTATGTAACCTAACTCCAACGTTTCATGAACGTATCTTACTCCTATCGTTACATTTCGTTTTGTGCATTCTTCTCGTATCCTATCTCAAACATCTCTTAGAGCACATCGTACCATAATTATTATCATACAATCCACATATTATATCATAACATAACATATAGGAAGTATATCGATCCACAGACAATTCACACATATCAATATATATGACACGTGTCAAACCACAGGGCACGTGTCAACATCAAATATAACCATGCCGATAGTAAGGTCACTTACCTGGCTAGCTTGAGTCGTTGTCACAAATATATCTTTAATGAAAGTTCGATTCCGTCCTTTGAAATCCGAGTCAACCTCTTCAAATGACATATCTCCTCGATGGAGCTAGTCTGCTTAAATCTTTTGTTTTATTTTTTCTATTTGTTTTTGTAGGAAGGAAGAATTCTAGGTAAATCTACAGTTGTTTTTACAGAAGAGAGATTCATGATTTGTTGCCAGATTTATTTTTAGGGAAGGAGTGGTGAGAGATTGAAGGAAGGAGGGATAGGTTACCAAATGTTTTTGGTCTTTTAATTTTTATTTATTATTTTATTATTTTAACTATTTTTTTTATAATTATTTTTATTTGTTTATTTCGTTATTTATTTTTGGGCTATTACAAGACTGATCCCTACTTCACTCTTTTACTCGGGTTGAACTATTTTAGTGTCTCTTCTCTTTTCTTGAACTGTAAACTCATTAACCTCTCCCCCCTACTTATTTAGCTTTGCCTTTGACTAATGGAACTCGATAAAGCCACTAATGAATTTACTCTCTTTCCTCCTTATTCTTGAACGAGATAAATAGGACGATCAATCATCAGGTCAAGCTCATGAACTCTTCAAACATTGGACTTTACGGTGTTGAGTTTTATGTCCTAAAACTCATAGTTTGTAAACAAAAACATATTCTATTTTCAATAAAGTCATTATTGTTATTTATTCAGTATGTTATTGAATAAAGTGAACTTTATGATCATTAATCTAAATCCAATAAACTAAGAACACTCTGGCTAGTATGATTACTTGAACTATATGTACAGACATAAGAGGGAATCAAGTTCAAGTATATAGTCAAAATGATCTATAGTATAAGGATAAGGCTGAGTACCTTATTCTGGGGACACTATGGATGCAACCCACTTTTGTATATGATATAAACAATGTGATCACTAAATTGTACATGTGGAGACATGTGAGTGGGGGCGTCCTATGCAGTGAGTATTGCATAAGATCGGACCATGAAGAAAACCACTCTCACTTTATAATATCGTTTACTGTTGAGACTGATTTTCTTTTCATTCGATAACCTAGGTAACTCGGTCTTAATCCTGAGCTAACCATGAACTCCTGTTTATTCGAAATTATCCTTAGATTTGCATGGGTGAGAGTGGCTCTAGTTCGCCGACTCAATAGGCCTCCCATTTCAGGGGTAAGACTGGGTGAATGGCTGGGGACGTGGGGTGCAAGATGGAATTCACTCCTACCCACTTTTAGGGATAGAAGAAAGGTAGTTCCCTTAAGCACTGACTCCAGGTCTTGAACAAGGGGCCCCACCCTCTCATTGGCCTGAGAGGGATTCGATTTACTGGTTGGACCACAAACCAATTGTTCATTAGAGGATCAGTGAAACATAAGGAACAAGAAGTAACTTTAGGGGTAAAACGGTAAATTGACCCAGCTCTAGTTACGAACAACTTGTGAAGGATCGACTTACTAATCATGGTTATATCAGATGGACAGAAATATATCTAGAGTGAGGGGAGTACAACTACTAGGCTATAGTAGAGTGTCCTAGTAGTTACCGAATGTTGGTTAACAAGGTTAATGAGTTTAGCCGGTTAATCTTGGATCGTTGGAGCCCATGATCTATAGGTCCATTAGGTCCCTCTGCTAACACATATCGGACTAAACCATAGAACAGTGTGACGAGTGAGTTCGAAGTGTTCGAATTCAAATTAGGGAATATGCGCTACATATATACGATATATTTAACCGCATTTTTGTTTTATTTACGAATTAAACAAAAGGAGAGAATCTGAGATATTTAAATAAGATTTAAATATCTTAATTAATTATGTGTCGGAATTGATTGGGATTGGCATTTGAATTAATATTAAATATTAATTAATCATTTAATGTTACTTTAATTTGAAACTCATTATTCAAATTAATTGTTGAATTAAAATGAAGAAAGTCAAAATGTTGACTTCATTTAATGGAAAAATCCATGTTAGTGGAATTTTGAGGTGTCAAAATTTTGTTTAACTCAAACATGCATGCTTGCCACATAATCCCAAACATTTGAGTGGAATTTTAAGTGTCAAAATTTGGTGATCTTAAATTTGCATGAACATGCAAACATGACTCTTTATATAGAGTGATCATGGTACATGGAAGATCTTCTTCTTCTTGGTGGAAAACCTTGAGAAAAACCTCTCACAAACACTCTCTTCACATATACAAAATCCCTCCCAAGTTTAGTCACTCACCGGATTCCACAATTCTGTTCTAAGGCCGGAGGATAGTGGAGAAGACACTAGTGGTGGTTCGAAACCTGTTCGTGAGGAAAAAGGAGTTTGAACTACAAAAGGTTAGTATCTAAACTAATTAAGTTTTAATACTTATGAACATGCTATTTATATACTATAATTAATGTTCTAAAAGTGCCTAAGATCCAAATTGCTTCCGCATGTGTTATATTAACACCATCATACCGTCTCTTTTCTTTCTTGAACTGTAAACTAAGAAAATAAAAGGATGTTCGAGAAGAAGATTAATGAGACAGAACTCCCACCTATTTATTCACTCGGTAAAGCAAGCACTAAGAACAAGAAAGAGAAGCTCAAGCTCATCAACCTATTCTTTATGGTCGAGTTGCTCCGCTCATTCACCTTCTTTGTTTACGAGGAGGTAAATAGAATGAATAGAATAGCTCTTTGATTGACCGAGGTAATGTTAATAAAAGAAAGACGAAAGCAAGACTCAACACATTAATGAGAGTGAATGAATGAATTAGAGAATGAAAGAAAGAGAAGAGTTTACAGTGAGATAAAGAGAAGCTCTGAGAGTAACCCTAAATTGGACTCTGATTGAACGAGGTAAACGGGAGGATGTGATTCTATCACTTACTCGGAGGTAAAGCAGCTTCGTATTGAATGGACTCTCCCTGATTGAACAAGGTAAAGCATATTCTTTCTCCAGAACCTTTTCTTTTCTGATATGACCTGACCTTCTTTCACAGTAAGAAAAGAAGAAGAAACAAGAACCTCTATGACCTGACCTTATTGAACTCGGTAATTTGTAAGTCAAGACTGAACCGACACCCTTCTTTTCCTTCAAACACTCTAAAGCAGCATTCTCCAGAACTGATATTCCCTTATTGAACTTGGTGAAGCGGCTGGATGCTAATCTCCTTTGCCTGTGCCTTGACAGTCTCGCTACTTACTCCTGCACCTGTCCCTTCTTTCACGGTAAACTCCTTCACTCTCTATGGATTGATTTTTTCCCCGGAACCTGAACCGATATTCTTTCACAGTCTAGAAGGGAAACTGGGGGATCAGCTCATTCTCCTTTTCCTATTTCTTCTTTCACTAGGTAAACTGAGGATGGAATTGAACAGTAAACTCGGGAAATTGGAGGATGATTCTTTCACAAGGTAAACTCATGAACCTCTCGGTTGAACCCATTGCCTTGCCTGACCTACTGACCGAACCTTCTTTCACTTCAAACTAAGACTCCACGAAAGATTCATTCTAGTCTTGATCCTTCACTTAATCAATCACTTGTCCCTTCTTTCATTCCTACACATTTATCAAAGAGAAACCCTTCCCCTGCATTGGACTGATTTCCCTCTTTGCCTCTGCCTTCACTGTAAACAAAGACTCAAGCTCAAACCTTTTCTTTCTTTCTATAGGTCTCTTTGCTCCTTCACCTATTTTATTTCTTCTTCTTTCTCATTCCCTTCTTTCACCTATTTCTTCTTTGTTGTGATCTTTCTTCTTCTTATTCATCAAGTCAAGCCTCAACTTTCCTAATGTTCGCTTCAGTAGGATAAAAGAGAAATCCCAAGACTAGCTTTCCCGACCAATGTATATTGTGAAATGGTGGTGCTATAACAAATCCAGAGTACCTTAACTTGCGGTTGCCGCACAAAGAAAGCAGGTCGGTCACCTTAACCAGTCATACCCATTTATGTAGATATTCTCTATCTAAAGCTCAAATGAAAGCCATGAAACAAGTAGCTACTCCTACTACAATTGCAATTGGTGTCTTCTTTCTTTTAAGCCAGCCCACCAAAGAATTCAACCTCGACTCCCCTCTACCAGAGAATCCATGAATTCTGAGTACCTTCAGAAGCAGCAGGAATGGTAAAGACAAATAACCAGCCAACTATGTATGTATGCCTTCCTCTAATCTTCCTTATGGAATGTGTTCCTCCTTAGAATTACCGGTTAGTGTCTTGGATGAATCTTCTTGAAAGGGGTCGATCAACGCTAGAGGACTCGATGGCTTAATAGTCCAGTGAATAAGCTGATTCAGAGAGATAACCCAGGCTTTAGACACTCGCCCTACTGGAAAGTCGCCTCCCACACTGCCCGCAAAAGGGAAAGCCCTTTATCTACCAGCAATAGCAGATCCTGTTCAAAGGTTGGGGTCGAAATCTGTCAAAGACTCACTCTTACCCTGAAGATCAGACGAAGGAAGAATCACAATCTATGGCGCACTGTCGACTCTTGAAGGGAAGAAAAACGTCTGAGTACGAGATGGTCAGAAAGTCTTAGTGAGACGCATAGTTCAATGCATGTGGCTGGTTGACCGCCGCCCCCTGAAAAAGGTATACCCCATTGATTGATGGGCGAAGGGGATCTGATTGTCGATCTGCTTCAGAAAGCTAAAATCCGATCTTGTCTAAAGTAGGATTCCCGAGAAATTCATCTCTTTACTTCTGCTCCAATAAACAACAAAGAAAAAAAGTCAAATACAGATTGAGATGAAGAGAATCCTAGAACAAAATGATCTAGCCAGAATGCCCATCGCACTGATTAGAATGAACGATGAATAAATAGAAAGAAGAAAGAACACAAAATTCTATGGGGTTCGAAAGAAGGAAGAAAAATCCGAACAGTCTGATTGCAACAAAGAAAGGGAACGTAGTTTCCTCACGCCTATTTCTGACACACAAAGAAGAAGAATGAATGGCTGACCTTTTGAGCTGAGCAGCCACGATTTAATTAGGATCGGTCTTATAATGAAAGAAACAATGAATTGAATGAGGGGGCCTTGCGCGAATTTGGTTTTGGTTGGTTGGGGTCTTATTCAGTCCTCGCTGTCAGACCCCTGCCTTTTGAGAAAATGGAAGAGAAGTCAGTGGCTGAGTCCGAAACGCAATATGAAAAGAAGAAGAAGAAGAAGCTGGGCCGAATGAATCGGATGAACTGGGTTGGAAAGATGTGGTTCCTCAAGGAAGTCCCGGATTCTTTCTGTTGGATTCCGTTGGAAAGAAAATAATGAATCAGGCAATGGAATTCTGAGACCAATAATGAATAGGTGAGAATGAATAAGGAGTGGTTACAGGAGAGGAAAAGAGTGAAAGAAGGATTTCATATGCGAGTGAATGAATGAGCTTGACCTTGTTTTCTTACAGTTCCAGAAGGTGAAGGAGAAAAGAGCTACAGAATATGCTTTACCGAGTTTAATCAGGGAGAGGGGAAGACAGACAGGATCATCCAGCTTACCTAGTCCTCGGGAAATGAAAGCAAAAATAGGGAGAGGGGTCAAACAGCTCGACCGGTAGGGAGAGGGGCAGTAGTTAAGTAGAATGAAGAGAGAGTTTCGGAGAAGATCAAGATCAATAAGGAATCTTGAGGATTGACTTCCAGTGAACGATCATTGATTCTTCGGTAGTCTTTCCTTCTACTTCTTAATTACCTCGGCCCAAAATACCTCTCTTTTATCCCTCAAAATAGGGTAAAGATAGACTTTTATCCCTAAAAATACGGGGGAGGATAGCTTTTTTCTAGTTTTTTGAGTGTTTACAGTCGAGTTACCAAGGGAAATAGGGTCAAATGGACTATTTTATCCCTGAAAATANGGGGGGGGGGGGGGGGGGGGGGGGGTCTTTTCTTTGAGCTCCTGCTATTAGGGAAAAAGGTCTTTTAATGTTTTACAGTTATATGGAGATAGAATTTATTTTCTTGAAGCTCCAGCTATTATTTTCTTGGACATAGGGTCAGGCCCGGTAATATCGAGAGGGGCAGGTTCTTCAAATAGCTTTCCCGAGTTTACAGTCTTTGAATAATGAATAATAACATATGGTAATACAGGTTCAGGACAACGAATCTTGCTTACAGACAGGAGAGGAAAGCAAAGAGCAGTTAAAGAATAGGGTCGGCTGGTTCCCTTCTTTACTGTTCAAGAATCAATAGGGTCAGGTTTAGTAGTTCAAGAGCAGGACCAAGTGCAATAACTGATGGTAATACAGGTGAACCAGAGAATAGGAACGAACAGGAGCGAAGGGAAGGAGCGAACGAAGCCGCTTTACCTTAAGGGGAGGGGCAGGCAATGGAATTGTTCAACCGACAGGTGAAGGAGTGAAGGAGAATGTTTTCTGAGTCTTCTTCCTTCTTTCTCTTTGTCTTATGATTTAGAATTGTAAAGAGGAGAATTTCTCTTTCTTTCGTCTCCCTATTTATTCAAAGACTGTAAAGGACAGGTTCAATAGTTCAGTTCTCCAACTCTTTCGTCTTTCTTCGTTTACTGTGTTTGAATGGAAAGAAAAGATCAGAGACCGTTAAATAGTTAAACCCTTAGAGTCGAGTAAATGAATTAGCTGTTTTACCTCATGAAAGAAGAAAAGAGAAATGCAAGATAGATGAGAAGGAAGCGAATGAACAATTCTTCTGTGGTAGCTCACATTGACTTTTATGCGCTTGAAGGAGTGAGACCGATAACTGCTTTATTTTAGCTCTTTCATATGTGGTGAGACTGTAAAGATTCAGGAGAATGCATAAGGAGAAGGAATGTTTACAGTTCCTGAAATAAAAGAGATAGACCCTAAAGGATAGGTTCAGGTTTAGGAGCAAAGCAATGAGACCGAGAGGACACCTGATATGAACCAAGAGACATCATTCATACAATATACTTCAATGAAGATGTGAAGAAAATGTTGTCAAAATTATCAAAAGAGGTTGCAATTCATGTCACATTGAAGAGGAATGAAGTTTGATGGTTATAAATTTTGGGTGGGTTACAATTTAGAATAATTTAGAGTTATTGTATTTTAAGACATTTTATTTACTTTAGGTTACATTTACATAATAGCTAATTATGGTCATTAAGTATGAATGTTACAACTTTTGGAATGCCTTTAATAGTTTCATTTTGAGGCTATATAAAGCCATGTATGTTGTATTTGTAAGGTAGACTTGGAAAATATATTAAAAGAAGCATTTGTGCTTTTCCTTAGCCAATGGCTAAGTTTCTTTGCAACTCTATGTAGTTTAGGTTGCATGTAGAATCATTCAAGCTCGACATGATCAATCTTGCTTGTGGAGTGATTCGAATCTCAATCAAGTGTTCTTGTCTTGAGATATTTGATCAACAAGAATCATTGAAGCTAGACATGATCGATCTTGCTTCTGGAGTGATTCGAATCTCAAAAAAAGTGTTCTTGGCTTGAGATATTCGATCAACAAGGTAATCCGAATCTTATTCCCCTTGTATTGATTCCTTATCATATCAACACCATTCATTACTTTGTTGCTCGCGTCGATCACGATGTAGATTATTTCTTCCTCTCCAGAGCCCTGACCAGTCTTTCCTGAAAAGCTTTCTTTCAGACCCCTCTGTGTGAGCAAGTTATACTATACTAGCAACTTTCTGTGTCATGTCTGTTTTTGTTACACATATGATATGGTACCTCTTGAGATTGAGATCTCTTTTGGTACTGGTAGAATAACTTCTCACGATATTGAAGCGGAGCCAAAATCTGTCCCACTAACCTGGCCATTCTCTCGGGTGAAATGTCTGGGGTGCCATGATTCCGAAATCTTTCCATCTGCATTTGTTCTCGGTGGTGTAACCAAGCCAATTTAGGAAAACCCTACTACTGAATCTAATGAGTGAAAGTCAAGTCAAAGTGTCCCCCGACTAAATCATCCCTAGCGCTCACCTTTTTTGTCTGGGTGGAAGCTCACTTAACCAGATACACGGAATTGGTATCTCTCTCGCATGCAATTCGATGGGGAAAGCCTCGCTTATGGAAAGGGCATATTCTTTTTTATCATCCTTTTCTTTACTTTCTAGTCGTATCTACTTTAATAAGACTCTACGTTCAGTTCGGTAGAAGGTGGGTCTCCCCCGATGTCGTAGGTTCAAATCCTACCGTGATTCCCTGTTAGGTCTAATTACAATGCGAACTTCACTAACTTGAAGAGCAACCTTAATTTGCCTTCCCTTATCTCTTAAAGCAACAAGAAAGGAGTAGGTCAAAAAAGAGATGTTAATTAATATCAAAGGTCGAACTGATCACCGCGGTTGTATTGGAAATATGTAGTTACGCATAATCAAGCCAAAATAATAGGAACTATACCTCACGGGATTCAAAATAGAAAACCAGACGGAAATCATAGAGATTTGTTTGATTGAAAGGGGAAAAAAGAAAAGAGAGAGTTCCAAACCTAAATAACCATTCAAATTGCCCATGAATCTAAATTAACAAGAATTGGAAATTGCCGCGGGAAGGAACTCTGGAATACCATGAATCTCACAGAAAGATTAATTTGGATTAACTAACAATGAATCAAAATGCATCTTTCTTGCTTAGACCAATCAAAAGAGCTGGGGAACAAAGAGTTTGAAGCTGCCAACCAATAGAAAACCGAAATAACTAGTTAGAGTATAGTAGGCATGAAGGAGCTAAATGAGAGAGGTTAATCTTATATATTCAAACTAAGTAAGACGTTTAATAGTTTTGACTAAATTGCCCTAAGACAAAATACCAAATAATGAGAAAGGACACTAACAAAGATAGAGTGAGAGAGAGAAAAAGAAAATGGATTAATGCTCAATCAGTTACATCTACTCATCCTGTGATTCCTGATTATGATTCCGAATCAAGAGACCTCGGAGATATGGCAACTCTTTTTTAAAGAAATAGTTAAATCGAATACTTTTTCTATTTTGGAACAATGACCAACTAAGACTTTGCCTTGACTTTTACTCATTAGATTCATAGGTTTTGAAATGACACATAATATCTATATCTCACTCGGAAGAAGAAAAGTCTCGCACGAGAGGAATGAAATTGAGGAATTTTCTATGGTACATGATTCTCCATCGACAAGCACCAAGAAAAGAAGAAAGAAATTCTTTAGTTAGTGCTTCATTTTGATATTGATTGTGAAATTGCCTTGCTGCGTCAGAAGAAGGATAGCTATACTACATTGGTATACTCTAAAAAACCCTCGGTACAATATTGACGATCAACCAAAGAGTAAATTTCTATTAATTTCTCCATTTCCTGATCTCATCTTTTACGGAATCGATCCATCCCCTTTTGACTGTAAATATGTGGAGCTCGGCAGGAAGCACAGGAGAACGTTCTTTTCTTTTGCTGATATTATCACCAGTATTCAAAATTGGGTCATTCATAGCATTACTATACCTTCTCTATTCATTGTGGGTTGGTTTAGCTTACGATGTTTTTGGCAGCCCTCGTCCAAATGAGTATTTTACAGAGAGCTGACAAGGAATTCCTTCCATTAATAACTGGCCGTTTTGATTCTTTGGAACAACTGATAAGAACCAAGAGACATCAATCATACAATATACTTCAATGAAGATGTGAAGAAAATGTTATCAAAAGAGGTTGCAATTCATGCCACATTGAAGAGGAATGAAGTTTGATGGTTATAAATTTTGGGTGGGTTACAATTTAGAGTAATTTAGAGTTATTGTATTTTAAGACATTTTATTTACTTTAGGTTACATTTACATAATGGCTAATTATGGCCATTAAGTATGAATGTTACAACTTTTGGAATTTCATTTTGAGGCTATATAAAGTCATGTATGTTATATTTGTAAGGGAGACTTGGAAAATATATTAAAAGAAGCATTGGTGCTTTTCTTTAGCAGATGGCTAAGTTTCTTTCCAATTCTATGTAGTTTAGATTGCATGTAGAATCATTCAAGCTCGACATGATCAATCTTGCTTGTGGAGTGATTCGGATCTCAAACAAGTGTCCTTGCGTTGAGATATTTGATCAACAAGAATCATTCAAGCTAGACATGATCGATCTTGCTTGTGGAGTGATTCGAATCTCAATCAAGTGTTCTTGCCTTGAGATATTCGATCGACAAGGTAATCCGAATCTTATTCCCCTTGTATTGATTCCTTATCGTATCAACAACTCTATGAATTTAGTAGATATTTTTAACAAATGACTATCGATCAAACTTATCCTATTTTGACAGTGTGATGGTTGGCTGTTCACGGACTAGCTGTACCTACCCTTTAATTTTTAGGGGCAATGTCAGCAATGCAGTTCACGAGAAAGCTAATCTGATACGATAAGGAATCAACTACAAGGGGGTAAGATTCGGATTACCTTGTAGATCGAATATCTCAAGCCAAGAACACTTTGTTTGAGATTCGAATCACTCCAGAAGCAAGATCGATCATGTCTAGCTTCAATGATTCTTGTTGATCAAATATCTCAAACACTTGTTTGAGATTCGAATCACTCCACAAGCAAGATTGATCATGTCGAGCTTGAATGATTCTACATGCAATCTAAACTACATAGAATTGCAAACAAACTCAGCCATTGGCTAAGAAAAAGCACAAATGCTTCTTTTAATATATCTTCCAACTCTACTTACAAATACAACATACATGACTTTATATAGCCTCAAAATGAAACTACTAAAGGCATTCCAAGAGTTGTAACATTCATACTTAATGGCAATAATTAACCATTATGTAATTGTAACCTAAAGTAAATTAAAAGTCTTAAACTACATTAATGAAATACAATAACTCTAAATTACTCTAAATTATAACCCACCCAAAATTTATAACAATCAAACTTCATTCTTCTTCAATGTGGCATGAATTGAAACATCTTTTTGATAATTTTGACAATCTTTTCTTCACATCTCCATTGAAGGATATTGTAGGGTTGATGTCTTTTGGTTCATATCATTACCAAAATGATATGATAAGGAATCAATACAAGGGGAATAAGATTCGGATTACCTTGTTGATCGATTGTCTCAAGTCAAGAACACTTGATTGAGATTCGAATCACTCCACAAGCAAGATCGATCATGTCTAGCTTGAATGATTCTTGTTGATCAAATATCTCAACGCAAGAATACTTGTTTGAGATCCGAATCACTCCACAAGCAAGATTGATCATGTCGAGCTTGAATGATTCTACATGCAATCTAAACTACATAGAATTGCAAAGAAACTTAGCCATTGGCTAAAGAAAAGCACAAATGCTTCTTTTGATATATCTTCTAAGTCTTATTACAAATACAACATAGATGGCTTTATATAGCTTCAAAATGAAACTATTAAAGGCATTCCAAAGTTGTAACATTCACACTTTATGGCCATAATTAGCCATTATGTAAATGTAACCGAAATTAAATAAAAAGTCTTAAAACACAATAACTCTAAATTATAACCCACCCAAAATTTACAACAATCAAACTTTATTCTTCTTCAATGTAGCATGAATTGAAACATCTTTTGATAATTTTGACAACCTTTTCTTCACATCTTCATTGAAGCATATTGTATGATTGATGTCTCTTGGTTCATATCATTCTCCACTTCTTCAAGAGGATTCGTCCTCGAATCTATTTGTGAAACTTTGCTGCAAAAAATAAGTTATGGAAATACAAAGGACCTCACAACACTCTCTCACGTGTATACACTCAAGGAATTTTAGGCCACTCTGTTTGCACTCATTTACACAAATGAAGCTCTCATTCTCACCTCTCAAAATTTTAAATAGAGCAAAGATTGAATTTTGAACTTTGGGTCGATTAAAAACTAAAAAGATGAAAATAAATAAAAATCAAATTGAGAAGAAACGCAAAGGAAACATATATCCGATCTTGAGCCTGAAGCTCTGATACCAAATGATAAGATAAGGAATCAATACAAGGGGAATAAGATTCGGATTACCTTGTTGATAGAATATCTCAAGTCAAGAACACTTGTTTGAGATTCGAATCACTCCAGAAGCAAGATCGATCATGTCTAGCTTCAATGATTCTTGTTGATCAAATATCTCAACGCAAGAATACTTGTTTGAGATCCGAATCACTCCACAAGCAAGATTGATCATGTCGAGCTTGAATGATTCTACATGCAATCTAAACTACATAGAATTGCAAAGAAACTTAGCCATTGGCTAAAGAAAAGCACAAATGCTTTTTTTACTATATTTTTCAAGTCTCCCTTACAAATACAACATAGATGGCTTTATATAGCTTCAAAATGAAACTATTAAAGGCATTCCAAAGTTGTAACATTCACACTTTATGGCCATAATTAGCCATTATGTAAATGTAACCGAAATTAAATGAAAAGTCTTAAAATACAATAACTCTAAATTACTCTAAATTATAACCCACCCAAAATTTACAACAATCAAACTTTATTCTTCTTCAATGTAGCATGAATTGAAACATCTTTTGATAATTTTGACAACCTTTTCTTCACATCTTCATTGAAGCATATTGTATGATTGATGTCTCTTGGTTCATATCATAATCCGAATTATCAAGCTATGACACAATCAAATCCGAACGAACACAATGTTGAATGGAATTGTACTTGTCATTATTGGGTGGGGATTATTCCTAATTTTTTTACTTGCTCTTTGATTTTTCAATTCTTTCTTCAATAAAAGAAAAGACTAAATAATAGTACGAATTATCTTATCCCATTCGGAAGGATATCATCTCATAATATGACTCTTTCTGTCTGCCGCACGACCACTTGATGAAATGGGGAGGGAAGTGGGACAAATGAACGATCCTACTGTAAGGATTCATTCCTCTTTGTATAATAGGTACTGTCAAAGGTATTCCTGTGATCGGTTTAGTCGATATTTTCTTTTATGGTTCATATTCTGGATTAGGTTCATCTCTGTAATAATCGTATGAACTGAGTTGTAGAGATGAAAGCGTAAGAACTCACCAGGATCCCCCTTGAATCATAAAAAGGGAGTAGGTCCCGTTGAGCTCTTACTAATTAGTTAGAAGAATTTATTAATATAAATGACAAAATGGATCTTTCTGATGTTTCACCAAAGGTCTTCTTTCTGATTCTGAATTGCTTCAATTGATTGAGACCATCTCACGAGAGTCTCGGTCGAGACTTTCAAAGCTCAAACAAAAGAAAGAGAGAATCACTCGATGCCCTCTTTCTGGATAACAAAATCCCACGCCCAATAGAACAATAATAGATTTCTATCTATCAGATATCACAAACCCTTTAATGATACGATAAGGAATCAACTACAAGGGGGTAAGATTCGGATTACCTTGTCGATCGAATATCTCAAGGCAAGAACACTTGATTGAGATTCGAATCACTCCACAAGCAAGATCGATCATGTCTAGCTTGAATGATTCTTGTTGATCAAATATC